GGCTGGGGCAGTAAAGGGTAAATAGTGCCAAAATTTGTCAGAGTCAAAGATTTCAACATGCGACCTCGTGTTTCTGAAACAGTGCGCATATCCACTAGGCTATCGGCCGCTTGCCGCATGCAGTTATCCTTCTCAAGTTGTGCAAACTGAGCCAAGATTAAAGGGTCCGTAACTCCCTTCAGAGAATCGTTCCGCAAATTTGGAGAACAGATTTGGATTCAGCGGCTCAAGACACGTCCATACATATACATCTCATTACGAATGGCCGGATCGACCTGTTGGGATTCCCTTGTGAGATAAAGTTTAGCGGTCGGAAGAGTTCATCACTGTCAATGAGGAGCACGTCTTCTGACATTCCGTTGATAATCGCCCAGACCATCATACTCCTCCCTTTGAAGTTTCGTCTTGGACATCTGAGCCTCCTGAGGTCGTACATGCGGAACCGCCTGTCGTCGCCACCGTGGTAGTTGAACCTTTTTTACCGGGAGCCGCAGCCTAAGAAAAAACTCTAGGAGAAAAACAGACAAGCATCACGATACCGAAGGCAAGAAACTAGCCTTACTCCTGTGGGCTCGACTGCATTTTTTGGCAGTGGATACTCGGTTCTTGAGGTGGTTCTCTAATGGAGACGGTGTTTTTCCCATTTTTCGTCGCAGTGTCGACTTGGATGTCTTCAGTACACGCCAGACAGTATTCTTGGAGACATTAAGCTTCAAGGAACGTTTAATTTCCGAACAGGACTTTGTGGTCTTGGATGCTTCTTTCAATACACGGCGCTTGTCTCGAGCAGAAAGTAGAGGAGGACGCCCAGAACTCTTTTTTGTTCCATATTCTGCAGGGTTTTTGAAGTAGTTGTGAATGACATGGTGACTGCGACCCAGATCTCGCGCGATCTGACGATTCGACAATCCTAAGCTCTTCTTTGCAACTATTTGCCCTTGTTCAAAATCAGAAAGCATTTTTCCTCTCGGCATCGCCTGGAAGACGAAAAACTTGTTACAATGGACCAGTTTTATCAAATGAAAAAGAAACGAAACAGAAAAATATAGTCGAGTTCGCTGCGGTCGAATGGGCGTGTCAGACGGGATGAGTTTAGCCAAACCCGTTCTCCACCAGGACTTTTATTATTATCTCTATCATTGGAAGCGAGCAAGTGACAAGGCTACACCACATCATTCCTGTCCCTCGTTTTCTACGAACTTTGTCACATATCCGCTCCAGCAACTAGCAGAGAAACCGGCAGCGTGGCACACTCGTACTGCCTGACACGCCCCCTCATCCGCAGCGAACTAGAGTATATGCGGTGGGTTCATCACGGGCAGTGGAAGGGTGACTGTTCGGAAACCAAGAGAATTTTAATGTCAGCTCTGCGCTTAAATTCCACAGGAGTGGGGGAATTCGCATTAATATCATTTTGTTTTTGAATTCCTGACCTTACAAACCAAAGTAAAGACTCCTCAAACCAAATTCACGAGTTTTCAAACAAAACTCACGACTTTTCATACCCAGTCACTACGTTTCAAATGAAATTCGAAGACTTGGTTACAGGTCACAGCAGACAATACTGCAGGCCCCGACTCGACAGCCGCCCACTCGTCTTTTGCGAAATTCTAACCCTTTCTTCAAGATTTTTCACGTTTTCGGAGTGCTGCGGGAATCTCCGCCATTTTTATAGAAGCTGGCCCAACTAGTAAAATGCCTCAAACTAGGAGGTGAGAGTCTCAACGAGTATGTCGGAGTCCAACCGGATGAAAAAAACAACACATAAGGTTAGCAAAAAACGGTTCAATGTTTATTCCTAGT